CAATTCAAGATCATTTTAAACCTCATATTAGTTTTATATAAGGATATTGAAAGTATTGTTATGCATATGAAATGTTGCATGGTAATGCATATGAAAATGTTGATAAATGGATTGATGAATTTGAAGATGTTATAAATTCTTTGAAATTGAGTGATTTGCATAAATTAGTTTTTGCTAAAAAAGCATTAAAAGGTAAAGCGAAACTATTTATTCAGAGTGAACCTAAAGTTAATGACTGGTGTACGTTAAAAAAGCCTTTGAAATCTGAATATGGTAAAGCTTTTAATTCTGCTGAGTTGCATGAAATGTTATGTAAACGTAAATTAATGCCTAATGAATCATTAGATGAGTATTTTTTGAAAATGAAAGAAATGTGTTCGCGAGGTAACATTGAAGATGCTTCATTAATTAAATATGTTATTGATGGTATTTCCGATTCTGTGGTTAGGAAAACTATACTGTATGGTTGCGAAACAATAACTGAATTTAAACAAAGGCTTAAAATTTATGATAGAATGAGATCGGACAATGATAAGTTTAAAAATCCGAAACCGAAAGTAGACACTTAAGTTAAAGTTAGAAGTAAGCTTGCGTCATCAAACCGAAATCAATCTAACGTTGATAAGGTCAAATGTTTTAATTGCCAGGAATTTGGGCATCGAGCATCGCATTGTGTAAACAAATCGAAGGGTATAAAATGTATTAAATGTAAAACTTTTGAGCATAAATCAAATGACTGTCCAGAGCAGACCCCCGAGAAACATGCTTTATTACAACGAATTTTTGATAGGATAGAATTATGAAGACTATAGAAATAAATAATCATTTAGTTGATAGTCTAGTTGACACTGGTTCAGATGTGACGATATGCAGCGTGGAGTTACACAAGCAGATTGGTTCTCCTAGTTTAAATTGTAGCGATATCACATTAAACGGAATTGAATCAAAGCAAACGTACCCCATCGGCTTTTTTATTTCTGATATTTCAATTGATAGTTTTTCACTTCGTACGAAAATTTATGTTGTTAAGTCGTTATGTAATCAAATTGTATTAGGTTTGGATGTATTGAATCAGTTTAACTTCTCTTTTACCGAGAATGGCCTTCAAATAATTTCTCATCGGAATAAAAGTAATGTAAGCTTGGTAACTGCTGAGTCATCTCGAAATTCTAACGTTCGTTGCGTTATGCGAAATTTGAATATTGCTGTGTCATTGAAGAATGTTTATGATCTTTCTCAGTCGTCTGGCGTCTCTGTTAATGTAAACAAAAACCCCGAAAGCGGAAGTCGTTCGGAAATTAATTACCTTTCACATCTGGTGAATGCTATTTCTGTCAACGAGATTGATTTATCGCACATTTCGAATGCAGAACATAAAGAAAGACTGTGTAATTTAATTAATTCGTACCAGCCTCGGAAAAATAGACAATCTGACTTTCAATGATTGCAAATAAATTTATGCGATGAAATTCCTGTCTGTCAAAATAGAAGATACATGTCTTTCGCGGAACAAAAAATTGTTGACGATCAAATTAAGGAATGGCTAAAAGAAAAAATAATAACGCCTAGCAACTCTAACTATGCGGTCCCTATTGTTTTGTGTAACAAGCGTGATAATTCTAAAAGATTATGCATCGACGATCGGAAATTATATAAGAAGATTATTAAAGACAAATTTCCACTGCCTTTAATTCCGGAAATACTTGATCGTTTAGAACAGTCAAAAGTCTTCACGACACTAGATTTGAAAAATGGCTTTTTCCATGTAGACATAGAGGAAAATTTCACCAAATATACCGCGTTTGTAACACACAATGGTATTTATGAATTTCTTAAAGCTCCTTTTGGTTTATGTATTAGTCCTAAATGTATTTTCAAAGGTATATTTATTCAGTATTTCGTGACTTGCTAAATGAAGGTGTACTAATTATTTATATGGATGATATAGTCATACCGGCTAATGATGAAGTTGAATGTTTAGACAAATTAGAAAGAGTATTCAAAACTGCTTCGGAATACGGATTACAAATAAATTTCAAAAAGTGTCAATTCTTAAAACGTAAAATTGAATTTTTATGACACGTAATTGAAAACGGAACTATTCGACCATCACCTTCCAAAACTGTTGCTGTTCGAAACTTTCCACAACCGCGTAATTGTAAACAACTACGAACCTTTTTAGAACTAACAGGTTATTTTCGTAAATTCATTCCTCATTATGCTAAAATAGCTAAACCTCTTAGTGACTTACTTAGAAAAGGTATTGGTTTTAAGTTCGATTCCGAACAACAGGAAGCTTTTTGCAGATTAAAAGAAATTCTCTCTCGAGCACCTGTTCTACACATATTTAGGCAAGGATATCCATTAGAACTTCATATTGATGCTAGTAGTCAAGGCTTTGGTGCGGTATTACACCAATTGTCTGACGATGGTAATTATCACCCAATCCAGTATATGAGTAAGAAGACTTCCCCGCAGCAAGAGAAACTCTGTAGTTACGAATTAGAAGCCCTTGCAGTTAATAGAAGCTCTTAAAGAAAGTTTAGAAACTATTTGTTAGGGACTAAATTCAAAATTGTAACATGATTGTAGTGCTTTTCAGAAAACTTTAGATAAGAAAGATTTTAACTCCCAAAATTGCGAGATGGGGCAATGTTCGATTGAAGAATTCGATTACGAAAATTGTACATTGTTCAGGAAGCCTAAATGAAACATGCTGATGCTCTAAGTAGAAATGCTTTAATTTTAAACATCATACACAATCCGATGTAAACTGAGAAGATTCGGTTAGCACAACAACAGAATGAAGATGAACATGTGAAACTGATCATAGAATTTAGTCGTTGAGAAGGGAGAAGAAAATGGATTCTTCCTGAGAAATGATATTTTGTATAAATTTGAAAAATGGAAAAGATCTGCTAGTAGTGCCAGAAATCCTTACAAAACGAAATCATACAGAAGATACATAAAAAAGGTCACTTTGCTGTAGAGATAAGACTGTGAATGCTGTAGAGCAAGAATTCTATATTCCCAGACTGAAATGCAAAGTTGAAAAGTAATTGCTGAACTCTGCATAGAATGTATACTGTACAACAAGAAGCAAGGAAAAGGGGCAGAAGGATTTCTTCATCCTGTACCGAAAGAAAACGTTCCTTGAGTACGTACCATATCGACTTTATTGGACCTCTTCCATCAACGAACAAGAGATACCAACATATTCTAACTGTTGTGTCGATGCTTTTACGAAATTTACTCGGTTCTATCCAGTGAAATCACCAACTACGCAAGAAGTTATTTCAAAATTGAGGCAACAAGAGACTGTATTTGGAAATCCCAGCCAGAATCATTTCAGATCGAGGTAGTGCCTTTACATCGAAAGAATTTTCAGCCTTATTGTATTGAAGAAGGAATAGAACATGTCAAAATTACTACTGGTATTCCAAGAGGTAACGGACAGATTGAGCGAATTCATAGAATTTTGATTCCTGTTTTGTCGAAATTATCACATGAGGATTCAACGAAATGGTTTAAGTATGTTCCAGATGTACAGAGAATCATCAACAGTACAACTACGAGAAGTACGAAATATTCACCGTTTGAGCTTCTCATAGGCACGAAAATGAAGCATAAGGAAGATTTGAGAATTAGTGAAATATTGAATGAAGAATATCTAAAGCAATTGATGCAAGAACGTGATGAAATGAGAGAAGATGCTAAAAACAACATTTTGAAGATACAAGAAGAAAACCGTAAGCAATTTAACAAAAAACGTAAGAAACCGAAAATGTACAAGATTGGCGACTTGGTAGCTATCCAGAGAACTCAATATGGGACTGGCTTGAAACTACGACCAAAGTTTCATGGACCGTATAAAATCATAGCTGTTAGATCAAATGACAGATATGAAGTCGAAAAAGTAGGATGCCATAAAGGATCGAATTTGACATCTACTGCGGCTGACCATATGAAGCCATGGTCAAATTGATTTGATGTTTGTATCAGCTCAAAACCTAAGGACCTGATACTCTTTTTTTCTATTTTTTTTTAATTTTATTTTATTATTATTGTTATTATTATCTTTGCAGGTACATGATAGTGATGTCCACTCAACAGACATCGAGAACGATGCCTCTTCAGGCTGGCCGAAGCTGTGGGAATCATCAACGCCCAATGCTGAATTAGAATTGCCAGCAATGACGTCATCGCAGTACAGCGCAGCGCGGAGCATTCCAGACAGCAGTAGATAGCTTCCAAACGTGGATGCGAGCCGCCTGGAGTCTTGATTCTTCTTTTGATTTTTCACCTTTAGCTGTTATGACTTTAGATGATCATATTATTTAAAACTAGCTGTCTACTAATGTATTCTATCAACGCCGGAGGAACTCTGTGTGAAGGACTGTCTGTGATTGTGCATCATTATCATTCAACAATTAATCTTTACTTAGTTTATCTTTATTATTTTTATTTCTTATCGTTAAATAAAAGCATATTTAAAATGCTACGTGTGAGCTCTCATGCTCTGATTTAAAAGAGAATTCTACATATATATATATATATATATCACAAAGATTTCCCATACCGTACAATCTTTATTTGGTTCTCTTATAATTCGTTTTATTACCCAAACTTAAAACTCTCCTTAAAGGACATTACTCTTGGGCAGAAACTGTGAACTTGATAACATTTAGGTAACTGCGACGAGGATTATATGTTCCATTGCCATAAAGAATGACAGTAACGTTGGAATTCCTTTGTTCGATTATACGGCATTTATTTTGATGGGACAGGCTTTGTATAAAACAATAGAGTGAAAGAATGAATACAAATAAGAAAGCGCGAAAATCTCCCATATAAAGCTATAATCCTTATAAACACTTTCTTCCTCCCCTCCTTTGCCATGAAATTACATGGTAGCTATTACAGTAACAGTCACAATATATATACATTTATTCTTTCAATTAAACGGATTCATGCAAACGATTTTCATATGAAAAGCTTACTTGATGTCCTTGGAAGATTTATGATGTCCAATTTTGAAGTGATGAGTACCATTTGTTATTTGAGTCGCCCATTCTGGTTTCATCCACACAACAGTAGAAAAATGTCCGGCGTATAAGGCTGGCATGATCCAATTTTCGATACTCAAAGAACTGTAATAAAGAATAAGAGTAATAACAGAGGGATACTCTATGAAGAAAAGCACTGTTCTGATAAAAGTTTCTCACATAAAACTTATTTTAGGGTTGATAATAACTGATACTTTTTACTTACTAAATACATAAAATAATGTTAGTTAGAAAAACATGTTACACTAATGGACAAAAAAATTAGCGCACCAAGAAATAATTGCGGGATAGTAACGAAACTTGCAAGAAAGTTACATGTCGGGGAGATATGCAAATGATTAGAAATGCAGCGTGATTGCGCATTACGCATAGCCGGTAGAGGGTCTTGAACATCGTACTCTATGGAGTATAAAACAGGTAGCCAAAACCTGTTTGAGTGTGTTGAATCATTTACAAAGGAAGAGCTGAGGTTGACATGCCATTACGCCGTGTTCGAAGACAATATGAGCAGTTGTCGCAGTTTGAGAGAGGGAGAATCGTCGGGATGATGGAAGCTGGGTGGTCAGCTAGGCAAGTAGTACGTCAATTAGGCCGCTTTGATTGTTGTGAGGAGGTGTTGGGACCAGTGGACCCGAGAGATGTCATGTACACGAAGACCAGGCGCAGGACGCCCTCGACAGACCAGTTGTCGAGAAGACCGCCACATCGTAAGAAATGCACGCGTACAGCCAACTGCTTCATCGGCCGCCATCCAGGTAGCACCTTCACTAGGGGCTCCCGTGTCTTCTCGAACCATACGAAGGCGCCTGGCTGAAAGACAGTTGGTATTTCGGCGCCCATTACGTGTGCTGCCCTTGATGCCTACCTATCGACGCCTCCGTTTGGAGTGGTGTCGAGTACGAGGAAACTGGACTGCAGCTGAATGGAACCAGGTCGTCTTTAGCGGCGAATCCAGATTCAATCTCGGCAGTAATGACAATCGTGTTCGTGTGTAAAGAGCCCGTGGTGAACGCCTCAATCCTGCCTTTGTTGTACAGCGACACATCGCTCCCACAGCTGGTGTAATGGTATGGGGTGCCATTGCCTACAATACACGGTCACCCCTACGTATTGTTCCGTGGCACCATGACAGCCCAACGGTATGTTCATGAAATCCTGCAACCACATGTGTTGCCACTCATGTAATGGCTCCCAGGAGCCATTTTCCAACAAGACAATGCTCGGTCTCATGCGGCAAGGGTGTCACAAGACTGTCTCCGCACTGTTACTACCCTTCCTTGGCCTGCCCGATCCCCAGATTTGTCTCCAATCGAGCATATCTGGGATCATTTGGGACAACGAATTGGGCATCCCACGAGTTTGAAAGAACTAGGGGCAAGGTTACAGCAAATATGGAACGAAATGTCTCAAGACATCATACAGAACTTGTATGACTTAATGCTCGATCGTATCGCATTGTGCATTCGCGCTAGAAGGGGTCCAACGGAGTATTAACTCCTCCGTTCTTTTGCCTTTTTCTCTGAAATAAATTATCCTTTTTCTTTGATTTTCTTATCATTTACTTATATCAAAGTAGTCATTACGTGTGTAAAATTTCGTTTCATTTTGACGACTCCTTCTTGGTGCGCTAATTTTTTTGTCCATGAGTGTATTTTGAGCTTAAATTCGCTATTTCTAAGTTTGACTCTCATCTTACAGAGACTGTTTGCGTTTTTGGAACGAGAAACAAGAAAAATAAATGGTGTCTTTATCAGAATTCGAGCCACGGATCTTCCAGCGCTAGTTGGGTGTATTAACCACTTACATTGCAGGAGTACGCACACGGGATTGTGATCATTCTTTGCTTTCTTCTTTCTTAAAAAGGGAAGTAAGAGACACACGAAATCCAGTCGACCAAATTCAGAAAGTGACGAATTAAAAGCTATCACATTTTAGCTCCGATTCCACTACAGATATTACTTTTATATTTTTTGGAGGTAGGAAACATGAAAACCAAACTACGCTCTGCCCAGCATTCCAACCATGGAGCTTCCATTGCCATAGTAGGACATGCTAACCACACACAACAAAAGGCACATAAAGGTCACATAAAGGCATAAAAATCTTTTCCACGTGCACTTTATGCCGAGAACGTCACGCTTCTACCGAACATATTTTGGTCTGTTTGGATCTCTTTAGGGAAGACATTTATACCAATTCCCTTCTTCTGCTCGACTTTCTTACAGCCAAGAGTCTTTCGGACCTTCTCTGACTTCGTCAGAATGAGGAGGAAAAGCAACAACAATATAAACATTTTGCTTCGTCAATAAAAGTCCTAGTTGTACAGTGTGATATAGACTTAGCCATACTATAAAATTAAGTAAACAAGTAAGCCTTAAACTGGCGTAGATTTTGAATAAAAACTCTATCCAATTCAAGCACCATCCGACATAGCTTCCTCTTCCTCAGAAGAAAAATTTTTGAAATGGTAAAAAAAAAAAAAAAAAAAAAAAAAAAAAAAAAAAAAAAAAAAGAGAGAGAGAGAGAGATAAGAATCAAATTTATAAAATTATAAAAGCATAAAGGAAAAAAGTGAAAACAGCCCCATCTGCCAATAAAAACATTTGATATAAGCGAAAAAATACTAATATATTAAAATTTTGAAAGTGCTGGAAAGGACTGAAATTAAACTCTTAACTTTGTAAGTAATATCTAATAGCTTAGCTTTCTCAAGTTTCGTTACTGCTTTCTTTAACAGAAGTCGCTATATTCGTTACCTCTTTGCTCAGCCTACTCATTTTCCTACAAATTTAGTGTCTGCAAAAAAATTTTCCTCCTGAAAAGGGCGGCCACATATCAAATGCCTAAACGCCCTCAAAATCGATAAACTTTTATTTAAAATTTATGCTCTTCTGAGATTTATTTTTTGTCTCATTTCAAATTTAACAGTGACTTGTTCATCTTCAATAAGAATGTTGTGTTACTGCAGAAACAGCAGCTTGCGCATTAACATCTATGGAAAATCATCTGCCTTAATGTGTTTGAGTGCAAGTACATGCACAGTCTCGAAATTCAAACCTACTACAACCTAGTTTTGGTAAAAGTTATCGTTTGCGAGTGAGAAGTCTTCAACAATTTTTACATTTTATGTACGTTCTAGGCAGGCTGGTATGGCCAAACTTTGTGACAAGAGAAGCCGATAACAGAATTCAAAAAAGTTCGAGAGCCGCAGCTGAATTTTTTAAAGAGCCACATTAAGCATAATTACATTACGTAGGGATCTGGACACATTCCAAACAAGACTTTATTACACTCTGAAAGAGGATTATTTTACGATCACCCAAGCAATCCGAGAATTAAATAAATATAGTGCTCTACGAGAAATAGCAAAATTTTCGTGACTCTGGATTGTTGTTGACTCTGTTGAAAAACAGAGGAATTATGTAAAACTGTAAGGAGAAACTGCGTAAAATAAAATTAAAAAATATATATAATAAATTATTCTATAAATCACCTATATTTATCATTCGCATTAGCCCACTGGCTATGTTACCTTACAGCTATGTTAACGTGGCTGCATCAGAGTAATGCGGCTATTGCAGTTACACGCAGAAACGGTATTTTTTGCCATTTTGTTTGTTACTGTGGTAGTTAGGACATAACGGAGAGTTTGAAATCGATTAAATTAATTATGCATATATGATATTATTTAAATTAAATTATAAACTGATGAAACAGTGTGTTGCTGCATGATTTCTGTTTCAAAATATAATTAAGTTTAAAAAATGAAACTAGTTCTTAGTATTAGAAAGTCACATGAGAGGAGCCAAGGAATAGCATGCTGCTTGTGAGCCCTGATTTGGCCATGCCTATGGTATAGCTCAGATACGGCCAAACTGCGGCTCTCCGATAGCTTAACTGTGGCTACTTGCAATGCTTTGGCATCTGAAACTCAACTTGTTTTGAATAAATATAGTTTAATTTTTTAATACAAATGGAATTTGAAGTAGAAATCATGCAGTGCCACGTTTTTTTATTCATCGCTAATTTAATTTATGATGTTATGTATCTAAAAATTCGATAGATTTCATTTTCCGCGAAATTGGATGGCGCGGCCGCCGCGGATAACAAAAATCGCGGATAATCTGAAAAAAGCTAAAAAAGGGTAGAGAAAACAGTCATTCGAACTTTGAAAAATCGTTTTATGTGCAATAAAACGTAAAATAAACAGCAGGAAATGTTTAACTAACGCTTAATATTTTAGTATATCACTCAAAACTAACCTAAAATGCATTTTGTTAATGAAAACAGAAACGTGCTTTGTATACTTACGAAAGGCGTCAAGGATACACAGAAAAATTAATACATATGTACTGTTTTAATACTGTAATGTATTATGTAATTACAAAAGCATAACTGTAAAACTACACCTTTTTGAAGAAATCAGTCATTTGTGTTTGCTTCTTGCTTTGGAAGCGTTTTCTCTTGATCCGAGATTGCATTTTTCGTAGCATAAGTTTCTCAGCCAACTCCGCGTCGTCTTGTTCTTCCAAATAGCTCAGCAGTCCGTCGACTTGTTGCAAAGCCGCTTCGTGAGTTTTCCGCATCTGCACAATGGGCTCTTCTTCGTCTTCACTTCGCTGTCCTCCATTCTCGGTCTCTCCCCTTGCTTTCTTCACAATTTAGTCATTTGTCAAGCGTTCGAAGCCAGGTTCGTTGACATCCCACTCCAACCACTCGTTAATGTTTTCAGCATCGACGTTCTCACCATCCGGAACTGTTTTCACCATATCGGCAAGAGTTGCCGTGGGCGTGTCTACATCTTCATTCTCTTCTTCACAACTCAAAGGGCTTAGATTGTTGTTGGCTTCAACATTAGGCATAAGTTTTCTCCGTGATTTTATGAGAGTTGACGGTTTCACTGAGTACCATGTAGATGCAATACCGTAGATGCTGTCCAAGATTGTGTAGTACTCTTTCAGATCATAACCTTCTTCAATTTTTGTCATTAGCAGCTTGTTCGGTATGTTCTCTTCATTGTTGCAATGACTCCTTGGTCCATGGGTTGGATTAGTGCAGTAACGTTTGGGGGGTGGGAGAAACTT